TTCTCACGGCTTAAATCGTCAATAAACTTCGTTATTTTTATCGGTCAGGGGGTAAGAGATAAATTTTTGGATGCCGATGCGGAGATAGTAAGTAACTACGTTGTCTTTAACCTCTTTTGAAGAAAGTTCGGAGTCAGCACTCCTCTCTTTTCACAAGATTATTCGGGTCTTATTGGGATTGATAAAATGACAAGAGCAGTTGCTTTTGGTTAAAATTTGTTCCAGGTCGTGGAGATTAAGAGTTAATTCGCAGTTCATAAGGGTTTAGGGTACAAGGAGCAATTTACTCCTCTTTTTTAGTAAATAGTTTAGTGGATAATTTTTGGACAATGCCAGTTTGGTCGACAAAATAAGCTATGCTTATTCCTAAGACTAAGTAAGTGGGTCATCAGTCGACATAAGATTTTCAGTTGTTATTTTCGTTATTGTTCATAGTTTTGTTAAGCGATTAATTTTTTACCAACTACGTAAATAGTTCCGGCGACAGCCAAGGAGATAGTAGTTCCCACAACGACAAAAACAAATCCAGTGGTCAGATCTTCCCGGTAGAGGATTTCTCCGCGACGGACATTTAATAGGTTATCACGGCTATTTATAAAAGGTTTTTTTTCTAAGTTTTCAATATTAGGCATGTTTATTTTTTTTGATTTTTAAGTTCAGTCAAAATTTCAGTTAATAACTGGTTAGTTTTAACTTGATTCTGATTAAATTCTTTGATTTGATTGATTAAAGGAGTTAAGTCGGGTAGGAAGGACATAATGGTTGGTTAATAATTTTCTTGGTTTTCTGGTGGGTTATACTCAATTTGCTTTTGCTCTTTAGTGTGAGTTAGGCGCAGTGATTTAAATTGGTTGGTTAGGTTGGTTAAATGCTGGTTAGCATTACTTTGTATTTCCAGTAACTTTGTTTCTAAAGCGATTAGTCGTTGACTTAAGGCTTGTTGATTGTTAACTACTACTTGCAAATTAGTTTGAATGTCGGCCATGGTGCCACTCATATGGGGAACTTTTTGTCCGGTAAACTGTTCAAAAGCAAAGGGAGCTAACGGGAGTAATTGACCGATAATGGTCAGGAGACTGGATTTTTGTTTTTGCTCGGTCGGGGTTGAATTTTTTTGGTTAGCAAAACCACAATTGTCAGATTGCTTAGTGTCGGCTGACTGATTATTATTTTTTGGGTTGGTTTCTTCAAATAGGGGCAT